AACTCGCTGTAAGTCCTAAAGAAAGTGCCTTGCCGACAGCATTAAAAAACACTGCATAAAAGAAATGGAAACGTCAAGAAGTTAAATAACACAATATTACAAGTTATAAGTAGGAAAATAGAGTCCAAGAAAAACTCCTCACAGTTTACATAACACAAGATCAGCATAAATTAAGGAGACTACTACCATCATGCAAAATCGCCCATCACAAACGACATTTGTTACAGTTTACATCAATAAGCAAAATCATGAACAGTCTTTCTTGACTTTTTTTTTTCACCCGACATAAAAAAAAAAAAAAGAGTATAACAGAACAAACATGTTCACTTAAAAAGAGTAGAGAGATAAACGCAAAGGAAATATCAAATAGTTTAGAAGAAAAGAAATAAGTTAAATCACACTGGCGAAGAAAGAAAGGCAATAATATTTGTATGTAGACAAATAACCAAATCAATCGAAACATGCATACAAGACTAAACCAAAGCATGAGGATGAAACTCACCCAACGGTAACAGTTAAAGTCTGATAGATAGAGACAAGTGTGTTCATCGTCTTTGTCATAAAAATAAACACAATCAAAGAAGAAACGCCACCGTCTTAGTAAGTTTCTACAGCCGTCGGATAGAAAGCTCCTGCAATACAATACAATACAAGCCAAAACAAAACTTAGCTATGAAAGTCATGATAACACCCCCCCCCTCCCTTCTCTGTGGATTCTTCAGAGAATCAATAAACCAAAAACAAGTCAAATCGCAGTTTCCATAGATTCTCTTTCGTGAAAAAATCAGATCGTGGACAAAACTCACACGAAGGATCAAAATCACACGAATCTAAGCCGATCTACGAGAAAACAAAATTAACCTGACGAAATATTCAGATCGATCGCTGGGGCGAGGGTTTTCTTCGAAAGCTAAACGAGAAAATCAGGGAGGGAGACTAGAGAAGATAGATACGCTTATTGAGGAGAAAACCCTAAGCCGGCGATGACGAATACGGAACTGTTTCGACTCATTTATATTCAGCGATTTTGAGGACGAAGGAGAAAGAAGAAAAAGAGTTAAGTCGGCGATTCCTGATTTTTCCTCCTCTCCTGACCAAAAATTTGCTTGGATGAAAAGCAAATCAAGTGGGGTTTGTCAAAGTCACAGGTCGTTCACCTTATTAAAGTCAAACTCAGCATTTGATTGGTTGGTGATTTATTGATGAGTCGGTCATTAGATATAATCGAATAAAGAAGTCGAATAATATCATCCTCAGTAGTAAAATATAAAACCATGGGGGAATTATTTTAATTGTAGTGTAACGGGACAAAATATAAAACTATTAAAAAATAAAACAAAAGTGTGATAAGGACCATGATTAGATTGTCAATTGATGGAGATAACCATTGAATTAAAATCTCAGTATTTTAAATTGCATAGAGATCTACATTGTTTTAGTGGTCTTGCAAGTGGTTTTGTTCACTAGTTGGCAGATTCTTAGATGTTTTTAAATAAGTAAATATACAGAAAATTGAAAACATTTCAAAGATAGAAATAATAATAAAAATTAAAATAAACTTCTCGTATAAAATAAATTTGGCGGTAAAGTATAGATTATAAATCTCAACAGTAAATTTTATTATAATGGTTATTTGAATTTTGCCGCGTTTATTTTTTTGTTATTGTTTTCATAAAACTATAAAAGGTATATTTTTGCATATTCTTTATTAGAGAATTACGGTTACATATTTAACGAAAAGCTTAATATTAGACAAATTCCCAATCCACATTCACATTACAATCGATTTTCAATAACTTCACAATACAACTATATTATATGATCTAAGATAGGTCTTCAGATGTTGTTATATTTTAGATTTGATGCACACACGATATATGATGTGTTTATATTATATATATGTTTCAAGAAAATGAGAAGTCATTATCGATAACTTTTGCTGGAAAATCATAAGCAAATGCGAAGAAATCGACAAACCCCATCAAGAATAATTAAATAAGTCACTTTTGTTGGTGTTTTTCATAGTTAAAAACTTCGTCTTATCCCATTCCACCATTTCTTCATTTGATTAATTGTTTCGACATATTGAATACTTAAAATAACCAAAACACATTTTGCTGCTAGAGAAAAACCAATTGGTGAAAATTTTAACATACCAAAAGCTAAATATGATTGAATCCATCTTAGATTCACTTGAAGCAAGATATGTAGATTTTTTCGTAAATCACCATTCTGAAGATTGCATCCATAAATGAATATCTTTCGTTCTTTGGAAATTTTGGTTAATACATAACTATTTGGATGCTGAAGGTAAACATGAATATGAGATATGGTTTCTCTTTTCTGGAAAACCGATTCAAATCTCTCTGCATAAATTTGCCTTTGTATCAATCATGGAAAATTTCTTAAATAAACTAAGCGTTAAAAGAAAAATATCAACGAAATCTCTATTAGGGGAATTGTTTACGTTTTAAATTTTTGTCTTCTCGACCTAGACACTAAAATTCTGAAAAAGAGAAAGGTAAAAGATATACATAATCGATTGAAAACACGTGTCTGTCCATAACATCCTCAATATCCCACTACCTCTGTATAACTCCAGAGCATGTAAAGATGATTCATGATTTAGAAGAATTTCTTTGTGCACCGTGCAATTGGGGTATGGTATCTTTCGAGATGATAGTAACATGCATTAAGGGGAAATATGAAATATTGTGATCGCAAAGCATCATCGCTTCAAAAGGATTCGTCAACGCGGTCTAGCTTGTTTTCATTACTGTTGTATCTCAACCGAAAGAGGTTGTTCAACCCAACGAACCCGTACTTATAAAGTCATATAGCTAGTCAGAATCTGGATCTCATAACACTCAAAGAACCATGGATGATAGTTCAGAAAACTCGACAATCCAAAAACATGTTCTTTGTTTTGTGAACCCAACAAGATGATAGTAACATGCGATAAGGGGAAAGATGAAATATTGCGATCACAAAGCATCATTGCCTCAAAAGGATTCGTCGACGTGATCCAGCTTTTTTCATCGTTGTTGTCTCTCAACTTAAATAGGTTGTTTAACCATACGAATCTGTACTTATAAAGTCATATAGCTAGTCAGAAACTAGATCTCATAGCACTCAAAGAACTATAGAGGATAGTTCAAAAACCTCGACAATCCAAAATCATGTTCTTTGTTGCGTGAAACCAACACACATTAGAGATTTAGACGAGAAATGTCAGGTAAATTAAAAGTAGCAGTTAATTAGTTATTAGATTATGTGGTGAATTGTTGGATTATACAACTCATTCTAGAAAATAAATAGTTTGTTTATTAGAGGCTATCATATGTTAATACAATGTATTAATCCTTGATATCACTGGAATCTATGTGTGGATATCAAACTTATTGGATACTAAACCCCATAAATATCACCACATCTTATGTAGAAACTAACTTGTTGTATCCTTAACACTTGTTGTATTGTTAACAGTTCTTGTAGCCTACGCTAATCTTTTACATATGCTATCTTGTAACTTTGAACATGCCCTTTAATGTGTTATGTGGATATCATGTCTATAGTAGCAGATGCAACCCTACCCAAAACTGATTTTGCGTGGGGAAATGAAGTTAAAGACGAACTAATTAATGACAATCATTAAAGCGATTCTATCAGTATATATTAAACGAAACAAGGTCATATATTATTGGTACAACATTTATGACAATCACTAAAACTAGAGCTCGTGTGTAGTTTAATAAAGATCTTCAAAATAAATTCAGACATAGGAAATGAACACACCTCGTATCGATGGGATAACTACAACTCGATAAAACAAGAATCAGTAATAAACTCAGTCTTACACTTTTTGTTCTCTTTTAACTTTTTTTTCTTAGTTTTGATGGAAGCTATCCATTTAAATACAGCTCACAAAACTCTAATACCAATTACATCCCATTAAAACATGTTAATACTCTATTTATCCCATCCCATCCGATGCAACCATAAGTGTTAATACTCTATTTACTCATTTGTGACACTTACAACCTCAATGTCAATAGAGATTGATGCTTTGCAGATAGCTGAATCAGTGAAACCATTGCCTCTAAGAACTACACCTAAACAAGACATAAAGCCATCTTCACTAAGACATGAAATCTTTTTTTTTTAAGACATGAAATCTTATAAACACACAAGCAATAAAGTGTAGATCTTTTTCACTTGGTACCCCTTTCAGATTTGATATATGCCACAATGTCAATAGAAGCTTCAACATACCTGCACTTAAAACACAAGAAGTATTGTGAATAATATTGGAATTTGAAACCCAAATTTATAAGTCTATTGCACTGTGTAAATTTATGTTGTAATGTGAAGTGAAATGTGGATCAAATTTTTTTGGGCTCTAAATAAAAAATCTTTCATTTAAATGAAGTGTAATAGTAAAAAGTTTCACATTGCTTCTTAACAAAAGAGAAAATTTATAGTATAAATAGGACTCTCTTATCAATGCTCAATAGCTTGTGTGGACACTATGAAAGAAGAAATGAGATGGATCATTAT